AGGGAAAGCCCATCAGACTAATAGCATGATCTCTCGGCAGAAACTCTACAAGCCAGAAGAAGAGTGGGGCCAATATTCAACATTCTTAAAGAAAAGAATTTTCAACCAGAATTTCATATCCAGCCAAACAGTTTCATAAGTGAAGGAGAAATAAAATCCTTTACAGAGAAGCAAATCTTAGAGATTTTGTCACACTAGGCCTGCCTTACAAAGACCCGAAGGTAAGAATGCTTATCATTCACTACATTTTACAATATTGTCTATATAAAGATCCACAGGAGAAATTTCTTCCAAGACTCGGTGCCAGGAATATTTGAATTTCATATCAGTGACTGGTTGGTTTTTATTTTATGGCTACTATGACTTATTTTTTTTCCTCCCATTTGCACTGCTACTAGAAAACTCCAGGAAAGCTCTTCCCACTGGCACGGGGTGAGAACAGTATCCCAGCCCTCATGGAATCCATTTGATATCTTAACCTCACTCTTGATTTCAACTAATTTTTTCTATACTTATTTTCACTTAGCCTTAATTTATTAACTTACACTTTTAATCTTCTAGAAGTGTTTTTATTTCATATGCTGAAATAAGGCTAAATATACATGCATAAACTTTTCAACCTAGCTGTGTTACCTTTGGAAACTTAATTGCTCAGGGGCTGGATTTTTCTTATCTATAAAATGAGAGGTTTCTCCATTCTAGCTCTGAACTGTTTTTCATCTTGCTAAATTAAAACCAGGAAAGTATTATAGTAACAAACTTATTCCTATATTACAAATTTTTATTTTGTTACTTTTTTTCTAACTATTATAACAACACAAGAAGGAGTATGTGTCCTAATTCTCAATATCCCTAATGACTTCATAATCAATACCCAGGAAAGATTTCCATAAGTTTCTCATTTTGAGGATGGGGATGGAAATTGAAACTTCCTAGAAAAGCCAGTAATATCAATAAGTAGGTAAATAAACTGGGTTTTATTTGCATCCTAAGTAATCACTCTTGAAAAGGACAAAAAGCCACATATAAATAAATGCACAGTAAATGGTTTTTGAAGAAGATTATCAGCACAGAAATATGTATGCGATTGCACGTGTGCCTATGAATGAGTACTTATGGAGCTTGGGTGCCTACTTCAAAGAGGCACAGCTATGTTTCCCAACTTCTCATTCTTTTGAACTACTTTAAATGTCGTACTTGGCCCCCAATGTGGGAAGCATACATGAATTATGAATTTTGTAAAGAGGTCCAAAATTATATTACAAAAGACAAACAACTAGTAAAACTAAGTGGAAGGTATTTTACATGGATTATCTCATTAACTCTTTTAAATAATCCCGGAAGGTAAGTATTAATAAGATGTAAACTCCTTTAAAAATTTGTAAAAGATTTATTGAGATATAATACTCATACTTTAAAATTCACATTTTTAAAGTATATAATCCAGTAGTTTTTAGCCTATTGACAGAGGGGTGCAACTATTACTATAATCTAATTTTGTAACATTTTTGTTGTTCCAAAAAGAAACCCTGAACTCAATAGCGCTAACTCCCCATTCTTCTTCCTGGTAGTCCCTGGTAACCACTAATCTACTTGTCTCCATGAATTTGCCTCTTCTGAGCATTTCATTTAAAAGAAATGATACAATATGTGATCTTTTGTAACGCTTTTACTTAGCAGTTTTCAAGGTTCATCTGTGTCCTATGAACATTGGTGTGCATATTTCTTTGTAGACATATATTTTCAGTTCTTCTAGATATATACTGGGAGTGGAATTGCTGGGTCATATCATACTTCGAGTTTTAACTTTTTGAGGGACTGCCAAACTATTTTCCAAAAGGGCTGTACCATTTTACATTTCCCACAGGAATGAATGAGAGTGTCAATTTCTCCACTTCCGCAACACTTGTTACCGTCTTTTCTATTTTTAGCTATGCTAGTGGGTATTGTTAGTTTGAGTTGCCTTTTCCTAGTGACTATGTGTTGATAATCCTTTCATACACATTTTGGCTTATTCATATATTTTCTTTGGATAAATGTTTATTTAGATCCTTGTCTCACTTTTTAAATTGGTTTTACTTCTCTTTTCATTGATTGGTTACCTGTCCTTTACATATTCTGGATACTATTCCTTATCACAGGTAGGATTTACAAATATCTTCTGCCATTCTATGTGTTTTCTTTTTACTTTCTTGATGCTGTCTTTGATACAAAAAAGTTTTCATGACGTCAAATTTATCTACTTCTTTTGTCATGTATGCTTGTGATGTCATATTTAAGAACCTACTGCTTAACTGAAGTTCATGAAGATTTATGCCAATGTTTTATCCTAATAAAACTTTCTTGGGTTTTTACTCTCTCATTTTGATCTATGATCCATTTTAATTTAATTTTTGTACATGGCGTGTGAATGCCATTTCACAGAGGAGAAAACTAGACAAAAAAGGGCTAAGCAATTCTCACAAAGTCTCACAGTATGCAAGGAGCTGAGACAGTATTCAAATCTAAACAATCTGAGTCTGCACACTTCCCCGCAATTGTTATGCTACTTCTGTATTACAATTGGATTTTTTTGTCAAAATAGATGTAAATTGATAAATTGTGTGGGCTTTGTTCTTTTAATTATCAATGAGTAGAGAATGTAATAGGAAACTCCTAAAGAAATGTCAATATTACTACAAAAGAGATCAAGTTTCTTCTTCATCCAAAGAAATGTTGCAAAGACACAGGAAATCTTTAAAAAGCGAATCCAAATTCTACATGCTATAAATCTCCAATCTCTATACTGGAATGTTCTATCATTTTTACAATTGCTTTTAGCAATTGAAATCACAGCAGAAAATTGCATCAAACATTTCTTTTCATCAATATACATGGTCTATGTTCATTCGCTTTATTAGCTTATATCCCCCTTTTATTACGTTACATTCTGCAAAAACTGATTCTTCGAAAGGTGACCATCTGAAAACTAGATAATGTTTAATTTATCAATTCCTACTATTAATAGTTTTTAATCTACAGAAATTTCACTAAAATGACATGTAAAACTATGTATTCTCATTATAGTCCTGTAAAGTAGGATTTTGGTCATTACAATGACATTTCACATGAAGGTCCAGGGAAATTAGCAAGGTTTAATAACTGGCAAAGCTAAGTAACATTAACATTTATTAAGACATTGGTCTTGTCAGAACTATCTCAGGTTTTTTAATATCCAATGTAATATTTTACCTACCATGTATTACTGACTCATTTAGCAGAGCAATCATTAATTATCAAAATCAATTAAAATTCATAGGGAATCGTGTGTTATCTACCATATAAATGAATTACATTATATCAGAGAGATTTCAGAGAAATTAATAAACAGACCTTTCAATTCTACCTGCTATGCCACTGACAGGCTTTTTACAAAACCAATTAATTTTATCTAGGTAACAGTGGTTATATATTTCTCAACTCTACTTGCCTACTATTTTTATTATATAACACACAGTTTGTTGCAAAAGAAAGGTTAATTGGTTAAATGAGGAGCAATCTGCCTGTTTGCACTTTCTTGCTGACTTTAAACTTGATTTTAATTTGTGCTGGATTCTTCTGTTAATGAAATTGTCCATTTTAAATGACTATCAAAGTCTATAACATTAACAAAATGAACACAATCTCCTAGAATCTCAACAGAGGCTTTTTAATAATAAAAATGTGTAACTTGAGGCTTCATAATAGATGCCATTCACAGAGGGTTTTTAAAACAGTTTCTAATGGGAACACTTTATACCTTCAATGAACTCTGTAATCTAAACCAATCTGTACAACTTTCCCAGTATAAAGAGGTCCTTTGAATTTGGAAAAGATTGGAGACTTTAGGTTTTGTTTTCTTTCCAATGGCACAAATACATTTCTGCAAGCATCAGAACCACAAATTCAAATACAACACTGGCTACATGTAACTAATTGGGTGGCCAACTTGAGAAAGCTTCCCCCAAAGCTTTGTCCTGCACATTTTAACATTTCATTTACCCCTGACTGAAAGGCATACAAATGCTTCTACCCACTCCTTTTTATTGAGACAGGGCAGGGTCTCACTGTGTCACCCAGGCAGCAGTACAGTGGTGTGATCAGAGCTCACTGCAGTCTTGAACTCTAGGCTCAAGAGATACTCCTGTCTCAGCCTCCTAAACAGTTGGGACTATAGGGAGGCACCACCACACTGGCTAGTTTTTGTTTTTTTGTTTTTGTTTGTTTGTTTGTTTGTTTTGTAGAGAAATGGTTTTTTAATTTTTTTTTTTTTTGGAGAGAAATGGTTTTTTAATTTATTTATTTTTTGTAGAGACAGGGTCTTGCTATGTTGGTCAGGCTGGTCTCAAACTCTCTGGCCTCAAGCAATTCTCCAGCCTTGGCCTCTCAATGTACTGAGATTACAGGCATGAGCCACTGCTCCTGGTCTATACTACTCTTGATTACTTAGAATAGAACCAAAGGATATGTTCTCTCCAAAGCTGTATAAAGTTCTTCCCAGGATTGTTATTATTCTGGGACACTAATGTAAGACAAAATATAAGGTCATAAATAAATTCATTCTTCAAAGTATAATGTGCTAAAAAATAGTTGAGTCATTTACCATCTTTAAACATAAGAAAAATATAATAAACATAACAAAGCTTCTTAGATACAAAAAAATTAATAATACATTGGATAGTGGCAGAATAAGTTTCTCTAGAGGCCAAAGATATGATGTAAAGGAGAGTCATTTAAGTCAATGAAGCACTTGAGATCCAGACTAAACAAGGGGAAACGTTCTGTAAATGTTAAAGTATCATGTTTTAATCTCTATTTTTCTGGTCAGCTAAAGAATATAACTTTCATATTCTAGTCCAATCATATTATAGAAAGACTGCTGCTTAGTAGAGAAGAAACTTGAATGTGAAAACTCTGTTTGCTTAAAAAGATAAGAGGTTGCTCTATAACAAGAGGATCATAACCAGGGTACCTGGGTTTACCTTTGCTTTGCGAAAGTGGTAGACCACCAGCATGCTAACGAAGTCGAGCAGCATACACAGGGCTTGGAAGGAGATGATGGCAAGTCGCAAATACTTATCCTCCTGGACGAAGCACGGGCTGTCATCTGCACAGAAGGGGCAGCCCTCCCTGCAAGGTAGGCAGACATAGGCTTCTTCTGACACATCTTTTGTACTTCCTGAAATATGTTGATCCGGACCCCTTCCTGAAAGTTCCAAATAAAACCACAGTGTCATTTGCACCTCTTAGGTAGGTAAGATTGAGTATAGAGTCAAAAGACATCCTTGACTCCTCATTCCTTTTCTCATTTATTATAGACCTTTTATCAACCCTCTTGCTAGGAGAAAGAGTTACTTTAGACTCTTACAAAATTATTTTTATCCTTTTGATTTTAAAAATCATCAGTGACAGTGGTTGAGGAAAATTAGCAAAATTTCAAAAGCTTCATGAGAGCAGGGAACAGTTTTCCTAAGTCTTTTTTTTTTTTTTTTTTTTGAGATGGAGTCTTGTTCTGTCCCCCAGGCTAGAGTGCAGTGGCACAATCTTGGCTCATTGCCAGCTCTGCCTCCCGGGTTCACGCCATTCTCCTGCTTCAGCCTCCCAAGTAGCTAGGACTACAGGCTCCCACCACCGCGCCCGGCTAAATTTTTGTATTTTTAGTAGAGATGGGGTTTCACCATGTTAGCCAGGATGACCTCAATCTCCTGACCTCGTGATCCACCCACCTCTGCCTCCCAAAGTGCTGCGATTACAGGTGTGAGCCACCGTGCCCGGCCTTCTAAGTCTTTTATATCATTATCTACCACTCACCAACTGAAAAGCACAAATCATATTCCACAAATATTTGTAAGAGAATTAACCAGAAGTAGGAATAAGAAAGTTGATGTTTTTATGTACCGAGTAAATGCATGCATACCTTTGGGAACTTCTTGACCTAGATAGCACAGAATCCAAAATGAGACTTTGACTGCTCCTTAATTCATTCATCAGGGATCTCATCTACCAAGTTCATTACGTCTAAATTAGGTAAAATGGTATTTAATTGACAGTTGTTCAGTGTGCAATTTGCCTAATGATGGTACATCCTTTGCCAAGAGTACAGTCCATACTTATAAGCTATCATGTAATTTCCCACTTTGCATGCTCTTAGGACATTTTCAACACTATTCACTTACTGCTATCGATCCTCCTTTTAATTTTAGGTTCTTCTGTCTCAATTATCAACCTTAAGTTACTTCTGAAGCTCAATAGGTAAAGCTTCTCTTTAATAGTTAAGATGAGTTTAGCACCAACATCTATCCAATTAATGCCAAATATGAAGAAAAAAGAAACAGAAACGATTTCCAACTCTGAATTCAATATAAAAGACAGCAATGAATATGAACCCACTTCAGTATATAACACAGCTTTGATTAACTGAGGAATTTGGGAAAGAGGTTCCTCTAGGGAACAGCATTTTAATAATACACAGTTTAACAGAAAGTCTTGGTTCCTTTCAACCCCTATTAAAGGTTCACAATCTTTCTACAATGTATTTGTCTGCTTTGTTTCCTCAGTAAAGACAATAGCAAAAACACAATTGAATATTTCTCTGATGATTATGGATATAATGCTGTTTAAGAGTCATCATTCTGTTACATGATGAAAAGCAAATGGATTTTATTGTCAAGCAGACTTTGTTCCCTACTCCAGAAAACTCTATGACATGAGACAACTCACTAGACCACTTGGGGTCTTAGTTTACTTATTTATGAAACATGCATTGCTGTGGGATTAAATGAGATTATTTATTTATTTATTTATTTTTGAGATGGAGTCTCACTCTGTCACCCAAGCTGGAGTCCAGTGGCATGATCTCGGCTCACTGAGACCTCCGTCTCCTAGGTTTAAGTGATTCTCCTGCCTCAGCTCCCTGAGTAGCTGGGACTACAGACACGGGCCACCATGACTGGCTAATTTTTGTATTTTTAGTAGAGACAGGGTTTCACCATGTTGGTCAGGCTGGTCTCGAACTCTTGACCTCGTAATCCACTTGCCTCGGCCTCCCAAAGTGCTGGGATTACAGGTGTGAGCCACCGCACCTAGTTGAGATTATTAATATTTATAGAAATCATAGTGACTGGCCCTTTCTCCTCTTCTCCAAATATAGGAGATGCAAAGAGTAATTAGGAATTCATGGTGCCTTAAAAAAAGATATTCCTCCGAAACAGAGAAGTTAGAAGAAAGAACTGAGATACAGAGTGAATGTTAGAGACAGAACCTGCAGAGATCTCTGGGAGTGGATAAGATAATTATTGGGAAATGTACAGAGGGAAATGCTAGACAGGGAAGAGTACTTACAGTGTCATAACAGAAATGAAATTTACTAAAAAATGCTATAATGTGATCAATATGACTGAGAAAAGTCTACAAGATTTAATAATTATTTTATTCTTCACTGACCTATAAGATAATAGTTTCCAAAGAGTAGGAGATTTAGTCCCTAAATTGTCAAGGCTTACGTACTAAATAAGTAATAAGATAGAATATTATTTAAATAAATGCACTATTGAATGGAAAAAGCAAGAAAAACTCATGGTTGAGAGGAATAATGATGATATTTTTAAAAAGTGATTTTGTTTTTGTTTGTTTGTTTTCTTTGAAACAGGTGAGATCATAACACAACTGCATCCAGTAAAAATGGGCCATTTGAAATCGAGTAACTATATGAGAAAACTGGTAAAGGAAGGATTTGAGAAATCATGATTGGATGTAATCAACAGCATAGTTGGAGAAATTAACTCTAAGAATATTTGATATCTCTTCTAACATTGGAAAAAAGTAGAGGTAAATCAAAGATTTTTAAAAGGTGTACTGTTTTTTAGCAGAAAGAAGGAATCAGTTGGAAAAAAATACATTTTGAAGTAGAAAAAATGTGGCAGCCAATCTTGTAGAGTCTTATCCTTCTCAACAAAGCAGGTAAGAATACTTATTGAGAGTGAAGAAGGCCTTTTTTGAGATTAAAGACGTGAAGGTTGAGGCAGAAATATAATACAAGATGATTTGTCAGATCACTTGGCAGAAAAATAATCCAGTTAGAGTAAGACAGTATGCATTACTAAGAAACATAGTCAAGATAGTGTGTGATTTTGTACGATTATGAGTAGCATAGAAACAAACGCAGAGGATAGAGCAGTCACACACAGAGAATAAAGAAAGGATTTTGCTAATGACAGTTTTAGGCTTCTTTTCATGTAACTACAAAACGTGCTCCCAGACAGCAAGAGTGTGAGAGGAGGGGTAAAAAGGCAAAGGAGGAAAGCCAACACAAGGCTGTATATTGGATCTGCAGCCTTCACTCCCTTGGAGCAGTTTGTGCTCAATCCTCCAGGGACTTCTTGAATCTGAGTCAATCGCAGAGATAAAGGGGAAAACATGTCTCCATTATCAACCTTACTAATTGATAAAGGGTTTCGAGAATCATCAACTGCCCCCACGTGCCTGCATTATGCACACTTGATCCAAAGCAGGTTCTCACATCTTGTGTCACGACCACAGGGGTACCTCAGAGAAGAACAGAAAGTGAGAAGCATATGAGGAAAGGCAGACCACAATGGCACTTACACAAAGCCATTCAAAACCTTCAGGAAATGGTGGTCGCAATGGGTAGAGAAAGAGATAAGGCGAAAAGCAATTTGAGATGATTAAAAAAAGGTATCCAATGCAGATAAAAACTTGAAGAATCATAGTCAAGTCAAAAACTGAGAAGTATGAGAAGCCAGGATACTGAGAAAACAATGCATTAACTCGAGTACGAACTGGATAATTACGTAAGTGAAGCCAGAGTCATTTCACTAAGATAAGAGTGTCAAGGATTCAGAAGGTCTAATGATGGTGACTACAATGTGAAGAATCATAGAGCACTGTAGAATAGGAGATGATAAAGTATGAGCTCCAAGATTCAGATTTGAGACACAGAGGTTAGGATTTCCCCCTTCTGGACGAGATGGAAGAACAGGGATTAAATTTATCTTCCCATCAGAAACAACCAAAAACAATGGACAAATTGAAACCTAATGGCTTTACCAGGCACTGGACATTAGCAACAAAGGACAGTGAATCCTAACAGGTGCAAGCAATCACCACACAAACCAAAATACCATAAAAAGAAGTACAATAGAAGTTAAATTAATCAAAAAATTATCTGTGGAGGTATTGTTTGTTTTACAAAATAGTCCTTCTTACACAAATCTTTGCTTTCTTGCTTCAACTAAATAGGCTGATCTTTTTTCATTGGCTTAGGAAGATATTAGCTACATTTAAAGCAAACAGTATACATTATTTACTTTCAATACAAATGAAACTTGAAACTTCACCCACATCAGCTAAGGTTTAATTCTCTGAGATGGGATAAGTAGAGACTATTTAGCACCTCGAATCACTTAAACTTGAATATATTGCAGTATTTAAGTGCTCCAGTATAATATATATATATTTTTAAAATTTATTATTTATTATTATACTTTAAGTTGTAGGTACATGTGCATAACGTGCAGGTTTGTTACATATGTTACTTGTGCCATGTTGCTGTGCTGCACCCATCAACTCGTCATTTACATCAGGTATAACTCACCAATCAATCCCTCCCCCTCCCCCCTCCCCATGATAGGCCCGGTGGTGTGATGTTCCCCTTCCTGAGTCCAAGTTGATCTCATTGTTTCAGTTCCCACCTATGATGAGAACATGCGGTGTTTGGTTTTCTGTTCTTGTGATAGTTTGCTAAGAATGATGGTTTCCAGCTGCATCCATGTCCCTACAAAGGACACAAACTCATCCTTTTTGATGGCTGCATAGTATTCCATGGTGTATATGTGCCACATTTTCTTAATCCAATCTGTCACTGATGGACATTTTGGTTGATTCCAAGTCTTTGCTATTGTGAATAGTGCTGCAATAAACATACGTGTGCATGTGTCTTTATAGCAGCATAATTTATAATCCTTTGGGTATATACCCAGTAATGGGATGGCTGGGTCATATGGTACATTCTAGTTTCTAGATCCTTGAGAATCGCCATACTGTTTTTCCATAATGGTTGAACTAGTTTACAATCCCACCAACAGTGTAAAAATGTTCCTATTTCTCCACATCCTCTTCCAGCACCTGTTGTTTCCTGACTTTTGAATGATTGCCATTTCTAACTGGTGTGAGATGGTATCTCATTGT